CCCCCCCTCCCCCATGAGCACCTTCTTAGATCCTTCTGACCATAGGAAATGGCCAACTCTGTTGGCCTTCTGTGTTTTGGCACTTTCCCAGGCTTTTTCCTGCTACTCCCCAACACACCCAGCTAAACCACCTGCCAAGTAGGATCACTCATTGTTCCCAGAAGGTGGCTGTGTTCTCTGCTTCCACACCTTGTGTCCTGCCCTTCTCTTCCTGGAACACCTTCCCCACCCATCTACCTATCATTCAAGGTCCCACTCAAAAGCCAAAGGCCACCTCCTCCAAGAAGCCAGGTTGGGAAGTCTGTAATGGTTTGTGTCTGGCAGGGCACAGAGCCATGATTTCTTCTCTGAAACGCCTATAGTTGTTAGCACAATGCCTGGCACACCAGAGGAGGTGTTCACACAGTGCCTATTTGTTGAACAATTGACTGAATCTCAGACCTTCCTTCCTCTACTTATCTCTCCTCAATCATCTTTCTTCACTTCCTTTGTAGCAGCTTCAGCAGGAGCTGGTGGTTGGGGTGCCCAATTCTCCCTCTGATCTTGTGCTTTCTCTCCCTCTGTCCCCTGCCTGTCAGATTCCATATGTCACAGAGTGGCCTGGGGAAGCAGATGTTGGGATGGACCAAAGAACCTGACACTCACCTACAAAGACAGCTGTGTGCTTATGGGCAGGGTCAAAGGGGCTTTGCCCTTTCCCCTCCATAACCTTGTCCTCCAAGATGGGCTTCAGGTAGGAATTTTGGTGTTCCTAGAGAGGGGGAGAGGATGGGAGACTGGAATGCCAGAGACTCACATCTGGAAAATGAGGGATGTGAAGGAGGAACGGAAAGGGACAGAGAGGGAAATTGGTGTGGGGCCAGGGAGCTCATGAGGGTTCTGATCTGGAAGACCAGAGGTTTCCAGGGGCACAGAGGATGGGAGTAGATGTGAGGAGATAGGCTTGGGGCCTGAGAGGTGGGTGCCAGGTAACTCACAATGAAGGTACAGGCAGGACTGAAGGCGAAGGTGCCGCAGGCGTAGAGGTGAGTGGCATTGAAAGAGACCAGGACACGAATAAAGTTGAAACACTCTGTCTGGAGGAGATAAAGAATTCAGGCCTCCAGGACATTTGCCCCAAACTCCTGGGCCCCCGAACTCCAATGCTCCCTCACTTCCTAGTGGGGAGAAGGGCTGGGCAATGCCGAAGCAGTTTGTGTATGTCTTCATAGGCCATGATGCAGGCAATAATATGCAAGCAAGCAGCCTCTGCTGCCTGCCCCACCCGAGATGATGATCTAGGGACACTAGGGTTCTCTACTCCGAGCCCCTATAATCCCATCTCTGCTTACCTCATTGCTCTTCCTCTTAAAGACACAATCACTCTTCTTTCTGTCACTGGCTGGCCAGGATATCTGAAGTGGGGAGTTGGGAGGGGGGAGATGAAGGGACATGAGATATTCATTTCTAGCTTTGACTTGTCACCCCCTCCTTGGCTCTGGTGTGACATCACCAGCAGGCATGGTGGTTAGTGACCTGCTGGCGGGCTATAATAACATCGGTTGGTGACCAGAACTATTACCCTGAAGATGCTGCTATGCATTAGGATACAGCTCCATGCTAGACCACGGCCTGCGGAATCAGACCTGAGTTTGAATCTAGGCCCAGCCATTTACTGGTCGAGTGATCTTGGTCAATTTCACAGGCTTCCGGAGGGCACAACTAGGTGGCATATGCAAAGCCCCTAAGACAATGTGTGATGTACAGAGCAGCAGTTGTGAAACCACACATTTCCTAGGGAAATTGTTTAAAGTGTCAGTTCCTAGGTCACACCTTAGAAAATCTGCATTTTTAAATCTGCATATGTGCAGTGACCTACAGACCACTCTAAGGAACACAAACCATGGAGATGCTCCATAATTGCTAGCTCCCTCCTCCCCTTCCTCCCTCCTTCTCCTTTTCTCCCTCACATTATTGCCATTAGTAGGGTGACTAAAATTTAACACAGAGGCACGCTCTCCCTCCCCCTGGGAGTACTCCCATGCCTTTCTTCCCTCTCAGGTGTGTATCTCCTAAACTCTAAGGTCCCCAGGAGACTTGCAACCAGGGGAGCAGTGGGCAGCAGCAGCTTGTCCCAGGCTAACCCCCTGAACCTGTCCCTAAGGCCTCCTTTTCTCTGACTTCCCAGAGATCCAAAGCAGTCCTGCCAGGCTCTCCTGTTGCTTCTTCTATCCTAAGCCCTTAATTGTGTCACTGTTCTCAGCTTCAATAAACATACTCTCAAAAAAAAATTTAACACAGAAGCTTCAGTGATTTCTAACAATGGGTGAATAACACGTTATTGATATAGTCTGAGTCAGTGTTTCTCTCGTGTGTCAATGATTTCCATCTCAGCCATTTTAGCAATTAATATTATTCAACCAGTAATTACGATACCAATAAGTAGTGAGGCCACTATAGTATTTCTTGTCTGTGGTACAGACCAGATATACGTAACAAGAGTTGCTGATTATTACTGAGTACAGTTGACCCTTGAACAACACGGGGTTAGGAGCACCAACCCCTTACACAGTAGAAAGTCTTCATGTAAGTTTTGACTCCCCAAAACTTAACTACAGTAGTCTCTTGGTATCCATGGGGGGTTGGTTCCAGGACCCTCATGGATGCTCAAGTTCCTTATATAAAATGGGGTAGAACAATGCATACAGTGCACTCTCCACATCCATGGATTCCCAACCACAGATCAAAAATGCTGGTTGAGCCTGGCTGGGCATGGCTCAGCTATTGAGCATCGACCTAGGATCCAGGAGATCGTGGTTTGATTCCCGGTCAGGGCACATGCCCGGGTTGTGGGCTCAATCCCCAGTCGGGGGCGTGCAGGAGACAGCTGATCAATGACTCTCTCATCATTGATGTTTCTGTCTCTCTCCCTCTCCCTTCCTCTCTCTGAAATCAATAAAGACATATTAAAAAACAAAAAACAAAAAAAAAAACGCTGGTTGAATTCACCGATGGGAAATCCGAGGATACAGAGGGCCAATTGTACATTTATTGAAAAATATCTGCATATAAGTGGGCCTGCATAGTTCAAACCCATCTTGTTCAAAGGTCAACTGTATAGATAGAAGAAATTGGGTGATTATCACCCATAGACCTGGCAGGCACAGGGCAGCTGCTGGCCCCCTCCTCACCCCTGACCCACACCCTTTATCCCTGGCCTCCTCACCATGTTCTTTAGCTTTGGCACACCAGGATCTTGGATATTCAAGGCCAGAATGGCCTCCCGGGCTCCCACATAGAGAGTGTCTCCATCACCACTCAAGAGCAGAGTGTCAAAATCCCGGAGGTTCTTCTGGTGGAAGAGGCTAAGAACCCTGCGTCCGTCCCCTGTTAGGAGGTGGTGAGAAGGGTGATGAGTGATGAGGAGCTGGTGGACACGCAGCTGATCGCTGAGATAAAAGTGGGGGGGGGTTGGCAGAGCATGCTCCCCAGGCCTTGGCAGCTGGACCCATTCTTCATCAGCAGCTCCCCCCCCTTCACCCCACCCTGCTGGCAGCCGTAGGAACTTTGTGTGTTGAGTCCACAACAGAGAGGAGAGGAAGCCAAAGGCTGGGTAATGACAGCCTTGGACTAGGAGAGAGTGGCCCACACCAAGAGACAGACAAAGGGACAGGAAATAAAGTGAGGCACAAGGATTGCTCTTCCAGGCCCTGGGGGCTGCGGTGGGAGAGGACACATTGCCCTCACTGGCAGGGGGAGCAGAAGGCAGATAAACAGACAGGAAGGTGTTGGCAGCCACAGGCAGGAAGCTAGACACAGACAGGACTGTGTGTCAGAGTAGCTACGGGTTGTTGGGTCCCACTCACCAACCCCATTTCCTTCTCATCTACTGCAGGAAATTTCCACCACTAGAATGACTGCCATAGGCTGAACAGAAAGAAAACATCTTTCTTCAAAGGTCCCATGGGCATGCCTGAATGTCACCTGGACAGGGGAGGTGAGCCGAGGTGGCTCATCTAGGTCTTCTCTATCGCCTTGATGTAGTGATGGTGTATGTGTGTTCCTGTCCCACTGGCCATCAGCAAGGGGAAGGAGCTCCTCAAGTCCTCTCTCATGGGCACATTTGCACTTTTGCATTAGTTAGAGGACTGACTAGCTAATTGCTACCTTTAAAGGCTCAGAGTCTCAGACAGGACCAATAGGAGGAGTTGGGGAATAGTGCGTGGCAAGGTGCTGGAAGGGCTGGCCTCCATCAGAACCAGACAAACCCCTCCCCCTCTGTTACAGAACTGATCGCCCTGTAGCGTGGCTGGCTGCTCATTTGCTTCCCCTTGGGAATAGAGCACCTTGAGGGCAGGGGCTGAGTCTTGTTTATGCTGTTAATCCCAGCACCCAACACAGAGGAGGCCCTTCCATTAATGAGCAACATGCATTTTCTTTACTACATCGCCCCACAAAGACGCTAAGTGCCCAGAATCCCCTACCCCTACTATTCCTACAGGACCCATGTCCTTCCCTGAATCTTCTCCCTGGAGGTGAGAGTGCCAGCAGCCCCACAGCCTCAGTAAGAAAGCAGCCAAGCTGTGCCTCCAGGGTTCCAGGGCCTATACTCCAGCTGGGCCACCCTAAATGCTCGTATCCCTGGTGTCCATGGTACTAGACACGCCATAGTCCAGCCTGGTCTGTGTGGTTGGCATGGGCCTGAAGTATCCTGAGTCACCAGGATGGGCCTTGGCTTTGGGGGTAACTGGGGATGTGAAAGCAGTTTTGGGTTTGAGGTGCCCAGCTTGAGGATGGGGATATTTAAGGAGGGAAAGAAAAATAACCAGTTTTGCAGAACCCGAAGGAGTGATTCCCCAGCCACCTGACCATTCTCTTTCCTCAGTCTTCACCCCACAGACAGAAGTGAGAGATGGTTTCATCTCACTTCTGTCTCAATCTGAATTTCTAGTTCGGCTCTCAATTTCTCTCTGAGGCCCTCTGTCTCTCCCTGGCATATCTCTCTCTGTCTCTCTGTGTCTGTTTTTCTCCCCCTCCCTCCACTCCCCTCTCCTTCCTCCAGGCCCCTCCAGTTCTCTGGGCTATCCCCACACTCCCTGGTCCCTGGCCGTCAAACACTTACCTGCATAGTATTTGACCCTGGGCACGGGATCCTGCCCACTGCTCCCCGTAGTCGTTGTGGGCAGCAGCAGCAGGAGCAGCTGGAAGAGGAAAAGGCCCAGGAGGCTCCATGGGTCCAGGCCCAGGGCTGGTAGGGCCATGCTCAGCCACAGGGCGTCACCAGATGGCTCTGGGGAAACAGGCACAGGGCACTCTCTGGGTTAGCAGTCCTCACCACATCCCCCCCAGGGGGCCAATCAGAGAGCCCCAGGCAGCAGAAGTGTGTGTGGGGGGGTTAGGGGAGGGGACAGTTCCAGAGGGCCCTCAGGGAGTCTCACTTCCATCACCCTCACAGGCCTCTGCCTGCTGCCTCACTCTGCCCTCTGGATAGGAGTCCAGTTGTTCCCCATCCTGCCCTTCTGATCTCTTTTCACCAATAGCCTCCCTCTGGGTTTTCTCACCTTACTCTCAGGGAAGTCCTTCTTGCTATCTACTCTTTGCCTTCCTCCCTCCCATAGCCCAGAGCCCAAGCCATTGCCTTGCTCCAGGCAGGGGACATTTGGGGAACAGATTCCTATGCTCAATAAAAATTCCTCAGACCTTCCTCCTTGGCTCTTTCAGGTCTGTTGATGCCCCGTCTCTGAGACTTACCCCTGCCCTCTGATGACCCAAGTGGAGAGACTCGGTCTGAATCAGCTGCTCTGACCTGCCCCAGCCCCAGCTCCCTGGGCCTCCCCTTGCAGGGTGGCAATGAGAGCACATACAGCCCAGCGGGCTGGCTCACAGCATTTCCAGGGTAGAGGCCCAAGGCAGGAAGTGGCTGCCTGTCTCCTGCCTCTGCAGCCGCCCACCCCCTCCGGAGACTGTGCCGCTGTCTCCCCGGGTCTCCGCGCAAACTCCTCCTCAGGACCGCCAACCCCTAGCCACCCACCTCATCGCACCTACCCTTGAGCCAGCCACAGTGTAGACCCCAGGTGTCTGGACTCTCGGGTGGAGGTGCCATCCAAAAGAAAGATGGCAAGCGGGGGTTCCAGGCCCGAGAGGCAGGGGGCAGAGGCTCAGCCCGGCTGGGCCGGGACTGAGACCCTCCAGGTATACATCACGCCAAAGCCAGCACTGGCTGCTCTGGGCAAGGGAAACCAGAATTTCTACCTCTCGAGTTGTGACAGATCCCAGGCTTGGGCGGAAGTTGGTGGATTGGGAGGGAAATAAAAGGAGACACACCTCTCTCTTTCCCCCTCCTCTCGCCTCCGTCTATCCAGAAAGTTTAAAAGACCAGAACGTTTCTAGATCATTTCAGCCATCCTCTTGTCCCTCTGTCACATCACATCTAGTCTAAACAATCTAGCAGTGGTTTCTCCTCTTGCTCAAGATTTCCGAGGTAGGAGACATGACTCGGTCTTTCATATTCCTTTTTTCACCTACCCACAAGACGGGGTCTCTCCCCGCCCACCTACTGGGAAGTCCCTGCGGTGGTCTGAACTTTAAACTTCCCACTTCCAGCTGAGCCAGGTCATCTTTTTAAAATAAGACAATTGCATTCGGCTCTTACTCTTGTGGCTTTGCTGAGGGAATCCCTCCTGAAGTCTAATTTGCATCACTCTTAGGGCAGCAGCAGGTCAGTGGGAGGCCCAGAAAATTTCCTATCTGAGCTCATACTTCTGGAACACACTGCTGAGGCACCCAGCCCCCCACGGTGGCTGCTCAGTCCTCCCTGATGGCTCCAGGGGGAACCTCATAATGCTGGGCTAATGAGGCATCCAGCACCAAGAGCTCCGTGACCTACAAAGGGGGTAGTTTCCTGCCCACTCAGCCCGAGACTGCTGGTTATAAAGCGTACAGCCATCCCAGGGCAAATCTGACTCCAATAAACAGCCCACCTTCCTCTTAAGTACTCATTCCTCGCTGTCAGGGAGTCCTTCCAGCACCAGCCTGCAGGGCAATGGTACAGCCCGAGCTATTCCTTAGAAGAATTCCTTGTCAAAGGCTGCCCAGCCTTCTTTCCTTCTCCCTCTGCTCCCATTTTCCCTCAATTTTCCTGAGGGTTGGTCTTAGCCAGACCCCTCCTGACACCTGTTTCTGTCAAGACTTGCCTAAGACTCCCTCAGGCTCTCATGGAGGCTGGTTGCCAGGTTCTTGGGAGAAGCCATGGACCAAGCCCCCCAGAGAAAGTCTTCCTGACACTCAGAATCAAGGGAAACTCCCAACCCCAGCTCAAATTTGGGAACCTACCCTGCCCCTGGGCCTCTCCGCTTGAACAAATTGGTTTATCTGGGTCGCTGGGAGGAGTTCTGTTGGGGGGGGAGTAAAGTAGGGGGAAAGTTCCAGCCCCACCCCTCCCAGCTTGATGCCCTGTTCTGGCCTCTCTAGGTGTGTTAGATTAATGCCCTGCCCCTAGTTCCTTCTCCAGAGACCTAGGAATTCTCCTTCTAGCCCCAGGCCTTTTCCCCAGCCCCTCTAGCCAATATGAATCAGGCCATAGCCTACCCAACATCTTTAGCAGATAGGTACCCCCAGGATCCCATTTTACAGATGAAGAAGGTGATTCAGGAAGGTTACACAGCTAAAAGCCAAGTTAAATAACCCACGGACACAGACAATAGTATGGGGAAGGCCTGGGGGTGGGGCGGATGCAAAGTAGAGGGGATCAATGGTGGGGGGGAAGGGGACATCTGTAATAC